TGTCTGATATAAGAATTGCTACTCCAGGTTTCTTTTGATTTGCATGCATGGAATATCTTTTTCCATCCTCTTACTTTCAGTCTGAATGTGTCCCTAGGTCTGAAGTGTGACTCTCGTAGACAGCACATATACGGGTATTGTTTTTGTATCCATTCTGCCAGTCTATGTCTTTTGATTGGAGCTTTTAATCCATTTACATTTAAGGTCATTATCGTGTATGTTCCTATTACCATTTTCTTAATTGATTTGGGTTTGTTTTTTTAGGTCTTTTCCTTCTCTTGTGTTTCCTGCCTAGAGAAGTTCCTTTAGCATTTGTTGTAAAGCTGGTTTGGTGGTGGTGAATTCTCTTAACTTTTTCTTGTCTCTAAATATTTTGATTTCTCCTTCAAATCTGAATGAGATCCTTGCTGGGTAGAGTAATCTTGGTTGTAGGTTTTTCTCCTTCATCACTTTAATATGACCTGCCAGTCCCTTCTGGCTTGCAGAGTTTCTGCTGAAAGATCAGCTGCTAACCTTATGGGGATTCCCTTGTATGTTATTTGTTTCTTTTCCCTTGCTGCTTTTAATATTTTTTCTTTGTATTTAATTTTTGATGGCTTGATTAATATGTGTCTTGGTGTGTTTTTCCTTGGATTTATCCTGTATGGGGCTCTCTGCACTTCCTGGACTTGACTATTTCCTTGTTAGGGAAGTTTTCAACTATAATCTCTTCAAATATTTTCTCACACCCTTTCTTTTTCTCTTCTTCTGGGGCCCCTATAATTCGAAAGTTGGTGTGTTTAATTTTCTCCCAGAGGTCTCTGAGACTGTCCTCATTTCTTTTCATTCTTTTTTCTTTATTCTGCTCTGTGCTAGTTATTTACACTATTTTATCTTCTGGGTCACTCCGTTCTTCTGCCTCAGTTATTCTGCTATTAATTCCTTCTAGAGAATTTTTAGTTTTGTTTATTGTGTTGTTCATCATTTTTTCTTTTTAGTTCTTCTAGGTCCTTGTTAAATGCTTCTTGTATTTTCTCCATTCTATTTCCAAGATTTTGGATTATCTCTACTATCATTACTCAGTTCTTTTTCTGGTAGGCTGCCTATTTACTCTTCATTTGTTTGGTCTGGTGGGTTTTTACTTTACTCCTTCATCTGCTGCATACTTCTCTGTCTTCTCAATTTGTTTAACTTACTGTGTTTGTGTTCTGCTTTTTACAGGTTGCAGTTTTGTAGTTCATGTTGTTTTTTGGTGTCTGCCCCCAATGGATGAGGTTGGTTCAGTAGATTGTGTAGGCTTCCTGGTGTAGGGGACTGGTGCCTGTGTTCTGGTGGGTGAGTCTTGATCTTGTCTCTCTGGTGGGCAGGGCCGCATCCAGTGGTGTGTTTTAGGGTGTCTGTCAATTTAGTATGATTATAGGCAGCCTCTCTGCTAATCAATGGGGTTGTGTTCCTTTCTTATTAGTTGTTTGGCATGGGGCATCCAACTGCTGGCTGTTGGGTGAAGCTGGTCTTAGCACTGAAATGGATATCTCTGGGAGAGCTCTTGCCAATTGATATTACTCGGGCCCAGAGGTCTCTGGTGGTCCAGTGTCCTGAACTTGGCTATCCCATCTCAGAGGCTCAGGCCTGACGCCAGGTTGGAGCACCAAGACCCTGTCGGCCACATGGCTCAAAAGAAAAGGGAGAAGAAAAGAAAAAAAAAAAAAAAGAAAAAATTTAAAAATTATTAACATAAAGAAAATAATAATTCAGAAAATAAAGAAGAGAGCAGCCAAACCAATAAACAAATCCACCAATGATAACAAGCTCTAAAAACTAAACTAAGATAAACATAAATATCAGAAACAAATCAGTCTCACACAGCAAACCGCAAGTCTACAGTTGCTCCTAAAGTCTACCACCTCAATTTTCGGACAATTCGTTGTCTATTCAGGTATTCAACCGATGCAGGGTACATCAAGTGGATTGTGGGGATTTAATCCGCTGCTCCTGAGGCTGCATGGAGAGATTTCCCTTTCTCTTCTTTGTTCGCACAGTCCTGGGGTTCAACTTTGTTTTGGCCCCACCTCTGCATGTAGGTCGCCCTCAGGCATCTGTTCCCTGCCCAGCCAGGAGGCGGTTAAAGCAGCAGCTGATTAGGGGCTGTGGCTCACTCAGGCCAGGGGGAGGGACGGGTACCGTGGTCATAATTGGAATGCGGGGCGAGCCTGCAGCGGCAGAGGCCAGCATGACATTGCAACAGCCTGAGGCGTGCCATGTGTTCTCCTGGGGAAGTTGTCCCTAGATCATGGGACCCTGGCAGTGGCGGGCTGCACAGGCTCCCTGTGGAGGGGTGTGGATAGTGACCTGTGCTTGGACACAGGATTGTTGGTGGCAGCGGCAGCAGCCTTAGTGCTTCATGGCTGTCTCTGGGGTCCAAGCTGATAACCATGGCTTGTGCCCATCTCTGGAGCTCATTTAGGCGGTGCTCTGAATCCCCCCTCTACACGTACCCCGAAACAATGGTCTCTTTCCTCTTAGGCAGTTCCAGACTTTTTCCCAGACTCCCTCCCAGCTAGCTGTGGCACACTAGCCTCCTTCAGGCTGTGTTCACGCAGCCAACCCCAGTCCTCTCCCTGGGGCCTGACCTCGGAAACTCAAGCCTCAGCTCCCGGCCCCACCCCCCCCGCCCTGGCTGGTGAGCAGACAAGCCTCTCAGGTTGGTAAGTGCTGGTTGGCACTGATCCTGTGTGCGGGAATCTCTCCGCTTTTCCCTCTCCACCCCTGTTGCTGAGCTCTCCTCCATGGCTCCGAAGCTTCCCCCACCCCCCATTCTCCCTCCACCATCTCCACGAGTGAAGAGGCTTCTTAGCGTGTGGAGACTTTTCCTCCTTCACAGCTCCATCCCAGAAGTGCAGGTCCTGTCCCTATTCTTTTGTCCCTGTTTTTTCTTTTTCCTTTTGCCGTACCCAGGTACATGGGGAGTTTCTTGCCTTTCTGGAAGTCTGAGGTCTTCTGCCAGTGTCAGTAGGTGTTCTGTAGGAGTTGTTCCACATGTAGATGTATTTCTGATGTATTTGTGGGGAGGAAGGTGATCTCCATGTCTTACTCCTCCACCATCTTGAAGGTCCCCCCCGAGTCCTTTTCTGAAGATACCAAATTATGACCATATTCTGACTAAATGTTTACCAGATTTATTACATTATTCCCTTTTTGGGAAATGAATGTTTTCTAGATTCATAACATTTTCCCCCATTTTAGTAAGTTACCTGTAGAATATCTAAATCATTATTTAATAATTAATTTGTTCTACCAATTACCACTTTTTTGCTATGGAAAGTAGTATAAAATATCTTTTTAAAATTTGAACTGGTCCACAAAGCAGCAGTGCTGCTAATTCTGAAAATATTTTCCATCTACATAAATTTTCCATCTTTTTTTTTAGTATCTGAACCAGCTATTTCCTGCACAGAATATAGTGTGCAGAGCACATTAAGAAAGGAGGCGTTAGAAAGCCCACTAATTAGGCTGCTTCTGATGAGCTGCTCTTAGATGCACTTGAAATACAGGCAGGGCAAAAATCAGTATTAACTTGTTCCAAATAAATCATGGTACTCTAGCCCGGTGGAATTGGCACCATACTGGCCATAATCAAGCAGATTTTAGGACTCAGTACTTTTTTTTAAAGTCCTCTTTCCACTAAGAGTAACTTTGTTTACTGACTGAATTCCCATTATAGGGAACTCTTTCGTGTTCATCTCTGTAGGTACATACCCACCCTTTTAAAATATGATTATTTGTAGCTTTAAATAACCTCATAGTTTGTCTTTCCTCCAGTGGTGAGAGAGAATGGCTGCTGAGTCAGAGTACTGGGCATTTCTGGGAGGTGAATGGGGAAATAGTTTACAGTTTTGCTTCAGGCTGGTCAGAACTGGATATGCTGATTAGGCACATTCACTTTGATATCCCCACTATCTTCTTAAGGCATAATAGAGTCCATTGTAACTTGAGCAATTTATTCTCTTTTGGAATACATCCTATGCTTGGAATACATTTTGCTTTCAATTGTCTGACTTTGGGGCTGAATTTAGAGTAATTCAGCTCTGGGTTTGAATTCCATGTGCATAATCTAGGTTCAGTCATTTAACCTCTTTTAACCTCACTGTAGAATGAGGCTGGTGCTCACCACACCAAGGATTGCCATGAAGATAAATGTTGTAATCTACGTAAAGCATGTAGCACAGTGCCAGACCCTTGGTAAGCCCTTAATAAATAGTTGCTACTGCCATTGCTACTAGATGGATTTTTTATTTTGTTTTAAACTTGTATCCAATAATTCGGTCATTTTTGAACATGATGATGGTATGTTAAAATGCCTTGAGGATGTTTTGCTTTCTCTTCCGATTTTAATGTATCAAGCGATTTTCTCTACCTTCAGAAATTAGTTTTATTTTTATGGTCTGTGCCTCAAGTGTGTGCCAAATACTGCAGTAGTGTTTATGTTTTCTTCAGACCATTTGTGAGTCTTAGATACAGATTTAAATGGGGCAGATTTACTTGATGTCTTAAGTAATTTGTAACTTAACATTTCAGGTTCTATTTTATTCATGATCTATATATCACAACAGATATTACTGCTACCTAAATGATAACCTAACTATATAGGGACTGTTTGATGTGACAGGACAAGCGCAGATTGGAGCCAGTCTGGAGCCAGAATGTGGGCCAACTGGTGTCCTCATATTGTGAATGATATATCCAGAGCTTCCTAGAATTACTGTGAGGATTGGATGACACAGTGTATACAATGTACCCTGCACAGTGCCTGGTATATTATAGGCCCCATCCCCACATCTGTTAATGGGAAGGTAGTTACTATGACACAGATAGCCTGATGTTGTTATAGCTTCTTTCCCTCCTGAATAATATCACTTCACCAAGTATCTGTTATTGGTAATTTTGTTCTATTTTAAGTGTTTGACTTCATAATAATGGATTTATTTATTTATAAAGTAAATCATTGGATTTGTTCCCACCAGTGATACCAAGAAGAAGCAGGCAATGAGGAAAAAGAACAACAGTGAAGTGGAAGACGTGGGACCCACAAGTCATGACAGAAAGAAGACCAAGTGGGAAACCTCAGAGCCTTTGGATACAGGCCTGTCTTTAGCCGAGGATGAAGAGCTGGTGTTACATCTGCTCAAAAGTCAAAGCTAAATAGTACTTGCTCTTGTCTTCTTCTTGAAACCTCTAGTCATGATTATGTGGGCAAGAAGTTGAATAAACAGTTGGCTTTGGGGCACGTAGGTAACATGAGTCCCATGCCCAAAGGACCCATTCTTCAGACAGGAGCTATCATACCTCTAAGCGCCTTTCACAGGCCATGCTTGCACCATCCCAGAGCAAACTCACAGTGATGGTGGATTATAAAATTTCCTGATCCCATTTTCCAGCCTGTGCTCTGTTAGATTTTATCCATGGGTTCCTACATCTTATCACTGGAAATGCTTCCTTTGTTTTACTGGCAAGTTCTAGAGACCTTGTTTCATTGTTGGAAATTCCTGTTTTGCTTACCATACAGAAGTTTCTCTGTAATATTAAACAAAATTGCTCAGAGAAAGAGTATGATGAATATGATGGACCAACCCTGAGAAAAAAATGAATATTTTTTAATAGCCTTGATCAATAATAAACATATTTCCTATAAAATAAAATATTAATGTTTTCATTGTATCCAGAAATATGAGAGCATTCTCAAGGGAAGTTTCTTAAGATTAAAATGCTTGGCCAATTCCTGAAACAGTGAATCTTTCATATTCTTAAATTAGCCTTCCTAAAGATATCATTTAACTTACACTTGCAGACTTGGCAGCCATTTATAAATAGAAATCCTGACTCTGAAGACTTTGTGATCTAAAACCAGATCTGTTAGTGAGCACCTAGTATGCTGTAGGTCTTCTACAAGTGCCTTTTGCAGCAGGTACCACAGATCCCTGCCCAGAGCCAGCTCCTGATAATGAGTAGAATAACACAGAGCCTCTTTTGGTTATAAGTAACTGGCATATTCTTCACAGGGAAAGAAATCTGTGCCTTGGCATGACACCACTGATTTGATCATGATTTGTCATCTTCTCCTTATTCTCTCCCTTTCCTACTTTCCACTCCATGTATAAACAAAAATAATTTTTGCTTACTGGTACAAATGATCCATGAATCCAAGGAAGGGAATATCCATAATTGCTTCCATCTCAGCCTAAGTCCATATTTGTCTCTGAAAAGTTTCTCCTACTTTCTTGCTTGGTATCCTCATGAGCAACACCAACATCTTTTAGTCCTCAAAATGAGAAACTTGACAACTCCTCAGCTTCTCCCTTTCCCCACCCTTCACTTTGATGGTTCTATTGATTCTTCTTCATAATGACTCTCTTATCTCCATTGTTTCTTCTCTGTCTTCACAGCTTCTGCTTTCAGGCAGAGTTACATTCTCATCATGACCTGCTCAGATTTTTGCAGTGATCTCCTAACTGGTCATTGTGCTTCCTGCCTCACATTTTTCTAGGCCAGTCTTCCGTGTTGTCAGAATTCTCTTCATAGCATTGATCTGGCATGTTTCTTACTTCTGTTGCAGTGCTTATTATGTAATGTTGAAGACATTTGTTTATAAGCCTGTTGCCCCTGTTGTAAAACAAGTTTCTTGAGAGCATAAAGAATGTGTTTATCCCTCCTGTGTATCCCCAGAGCCAGACACAGCACCTGCCCTATAATAGGTTCAATAAAGGCTTTTTGAGTTAATGAATGGACAGTAAAACACCAAGACAGTTTTTGAAAGTGTGTGGTAGTGCATTGCTCTGTTACCTCTGGTGGGAAGGATATAAAATAGTGGAAATGAGAACTGGATGAAATAGCTACAATGGGCAAGAATGACTATAATGGAGAAAACAGATGAGAAAGGAATTTGGGGTATAACAACCTGGGATGATTTTGAAATTAAGGTTGCTGGTACAGGATCTCTTGAATATTTTCAAAGGGCAAAAAGATGCAAGAGTATATAAACTAAAGGTTTGGCCTTCCCTGGTGGTGCAGTGGTTAAGAATCTGCCTGCCAATGCAGGCGACATGGGTTTGAGCCTTGGTCCAGGAAGATGCCCCATGCCGTGGAGCAACTAAGCCCAGGCGCCACAACTGCTGAAGCCCATGCACCTAGAGCCCATGCTCCGCGACAAGAGAGAGGCCACCGCGACGAGAAACCTGTGCACTGCAACGAAGAGTAGCCCCTGCACACAGCAATGAAGACCCAACACAGCCAAAAATAATTAATTAATTTAAAAAAAACAAAACTAAAGGTTTACCACTGAATTCACTCTGTGCAGTTTTAGATTTTGTTTTTTCTAATCCAAATAAGGAATTTTTACTTATTTTTTTACTCTATATATGTAAGCATTGAATAAATATACTGCAAGGCCTTTGGTTCATAAACTAGTTTGAGCTGTATTCTGTCCCTAGACCTGAATGGATCCTGACTAATACATACATTGTAAGGAACTTTAGTTTGCTGAAATTTGAAAACTGGTTAAAACATCAGAATAGTGCTGTTTGAAAACTCAGGTAACAAATATATATTTCGGTAGACTAAATTGTTACTGTTTTAGCTGTGGTGTAGTTGGGGGCGCATGACCTAAATCTGACTGGCCAAACTATTTCCTAGACTCAGAGATTGGCCCAGACGTGGGTATAATACTCAGGTAAGGACAGAAAGACTCCTTCCTTGAGAGTAAAGTACAGAATATGAAAGAAAGATTCCTTACCCATGGGGAATTCCTAAAAAGGGAGGATGTCAATCTGGGGCCTTTGGCAGCAATTTTTTCTGGTCAAATGGAGGCTGCTTCTGAGAGGTTGGAGAGAATAAGACCAACACCGTGAGGTGAGCAGAGTGGAGAGATGGAGAGAGAGCCCTGATGGCATCATTTGAACCCTTTGGCTTCAACTGTATCTGCTCCTTGTACTTCCTAATTATGGGTCAGTAAGTTTCTGTTTTGCATAAACTACTTTGAATTGTATTTTGTTCCTGGAATGAATGGATCCTGACTTAATATATATGTTGTGGGGGATTTTAGTTTGCTGATTTGAAAATGAATTAGAACATGGGAATAGTGCCGATAGAAAGCTTGGGCATTGTTGTTCAGCAGACAGCAGCTCCATCCCCTCCCTCCCTTGGAGAAGCATGAGTTTCCACTCTGCTCACGTTGGGCTTGAGCCTGTGACTGACTTTAGCCCGCGAAGTGTGGTGGAAGTGACTGTGTGCCTGTTATAAGCAGAGGCTTTAAGGTGCTCTGATGCTTCCATCAGCCCTCTTACACTCTTGTCTTCTACCTTGAGACCAGCGTGGACCAGAGAGGATACTGCTTCAGACTGGGCACAAGGTGAGAAGACATGTGAAACAGACCTACAGCCTCCTCCAAGTCCTGTGGAGCAAGAAATCCACTGAGACTTGGGGTTCTTCACAGGAAAAGGTGAGAGAAGCACTTAACCAATGAGCAAAAGCATTCATTCATTCAATAAATGTTAATACAGCAACTACTGTATGCCAGGCCCTGTACGTAAGAGAAATAGAGCAGTCCCCTCCCCTGCTGTCATGTAGTAAAGGGAAAAAGAGAAGAAAATTCATAATTTCAGTGCATTATGAAAAGAGCAGGCAGGAAAAGGAAGACTGCTCTTTGAATGAGAAAGCTGTTGCTGGAGTACAGGAAGGATGGAGGATATGGGTAGTTTCTTGGCCTGCGACCCAAAGACCAATTCTTGCTTGATGCTTAACTGAGGCAGAGAGGCCATTCATCAGACTCACTCACGTAAAACGATCCCTAAGATGTGTAAGTCTCTGAGCAGATACACTCAGCAGCAGAGTGCTTTGGAGGACTGCCCTTAAGCTTAACATGGCATTTTAGATTTGGGGGTTATAAAAAATGGGTAAGTTTAATTAAATGTAGTTAATTTTGTTATACAACATTCGAAATATCCTGAACATGAAGGTTGTCTCCGTGACTGTCAGAGTCCACCAGAGGATGCAGATGTTCCTGGGAAGTGTGGGGAAGAAGGTGGGGCTGGAGGTGGTGGTACAGGTAAAGGAGAAAGAGCCTGCAACCAAGTTTTGAAAAGCCTGTTTCATATTTTTTAAGACCATTTTTAACTAGACATGTAATCATAGTGTGATTTTCTTCCACGGCCCCTGCTGATCAGACAGGCCAGAGCAGACAGGTTTTATACCGTATTACCCAGCGCCTGCTGAATCAGGAATTGGCAGCTAACCCAAAGGCTAGCCATTAGCCTGTGAGAGGCTAGTGCAAAAAGCTCTGCCCAAACAGGGACAAATTGGGCAGATAACGTTCTTATTCTCTGAAACTGAAATTTAGGTAGTCAGCAACATAAGGTTATGAGACAGACCAAGAGCACATCATGGGCATAAGTGAGCTCAGATTAGAAGTCACGCAAAGCTACAAGGGAACTAGAACTCTGGCAAAAAGATAAAGAGTAAATGGTGAGGGATCTAGTTGGTCATGGAAAGTGAAGCATGCGTGGAGAGTATTGCACCTGGTCCAGAGCTGCAAAGACCTGCAGACTCCCCTTGCTGAGTCTCCAAGGTCCACGCTGACCCTCTGGGCCTCGTCTCCATGAGCCTCATATTCTCCTGGGTCCTATTCCTAGATTTCTGTTCAAGTCTCTCTCCTTCACTGCCTGGGATCTAAGACCCTATTGTCTGAGGTAGTCTGAGTGAGTCCTTGGGTTTTTTGTACCCAAAAGAGCTTCAGTAAAACTCAGAATACTCTAATGTCTGCTGCTTAGATTTAACGTGTATAGGAATCACCAGGGAATCATTTAAAAGTGCTAATCCTGAATTGGTAGGTCTGGGGTGGGGCCTGAGATTCTGAATTTCTTATAAGCTCCCAGGTGATGGTATGCTGCTGGCCCTTGGCCACATTTGAGTAGCAAGGCACTAATGGAATTCAGAGAGTTATTAAAATCATTATTTACAGATAGGGATCCTGTCAGAGTTCCAGCAGGAAACAGATGGCACACACAAATTAGGGTAATTCCAAGGGGATTTAATAAAAGGATTAGTTACATAAGCCAGAGCAGGGTGTAAGGAAACCACAAAAGGTTAGTCTACCAGAGGCTAGTAATAGAAGTGTTACCACTCCTCTCCCTGAAGGGATGAGGGGAGAGAAGGGAAGGAGAGACAGCTAATTTTTGACCTTCAGTTGATATATGCAGCCAGCCTGAGGTGACCACAGGGAATGAGGCAAGAGAATAAACTCTGTGACCTCACTCTCCGGCCAGTGGTCCTCACTGGCCCCAACCAAAGCCAGAAAGCAAGTTGCCCATAGATGTAATTGTACAGTCTCCCAGGACACAGCAAGGTGGAGAAGTGTAAGGGGCCAACAGGAGAAACTGGCCGAGACGTAGGGTGTATGTAGGTGAAATCTTTTCGTGGGGAAGAGAAGAAGCCCTCAGACTTTGTGCCTTCAACACCTACTGTGTACCAGGCGTTGTTCTAAGTATAGACACATAGCAAGGATGGGCAAGAAGCAAACCAGCATATAAAACACTAAGTGTAAGAGTAAGGAGATAGAGCAAGTGAGCAACAGAGCAGAGGCTATTTTGATGAAGGCCAGCAAGAACCTCTGATGGATAGGAATCTGAAGGAACAGGACCTACTTCCCAAGTACGTGTGAATGAAGAAAAGTGTCCAACCATACAGACTGATCTCACTAGAAAATTCATTCTTCTAGTGGGCCTCCAGTGCTGTTTTCCTAGCTTTGCCCTCTCTCCTACACTCCAAGACAACTATTTCACACATTTCCCTCTCAAATCTCCAAAACCTCTTGTCCTTCTTCACTCTTGGCTGATGATCTTACTTTTGATTTTACTGAGAAATCAAAAGAATCCTTCCCTGGGACTTCCCTGGTGGTCCAGTGGTAAAGAATCCGCCTTACGGGGAGGGGATGCAGGTTCGATCCCTGGTCAGGGAACTAAGATCCCACATGCCACGGGGCAACTAAGCCTGTGTGCCACAACTACTGAGCTCGTGTGCCTCAACTAGAGAGCCCATGTGCTGCAAACTACAGAGCCCACGTGCTCTGGAACCTGTGTGCCCCAACTAGAGAAGAGAAAACCTGCACACCACAACTAGAGAGAAGCCCGCGTGCCACAATGAAGAGCCCACGCACTACAATGAAAGATCGCGCATGCCTCAACGAAGATCCCATGTGCCGCAACTAAGACCTGATGCAGCTGAAAATAAATTAAATAAATAAATAATAAATCTTAAAAAAAAAAGAATCCTTCCCCAAGCTCCCACACCACATCCACCCTTGCACCTGTGCCCACACTTCCTGCCTTCCCCCCTGCCTAAGGCCAAACCCCCTGCATGCGCTGATCCCATGTCCTCTGGCCCTTTGAAGGATACTGCTTCTGCAGTTGTCCCCTCTCTCTACAGTATTATCAGTTTTCCCTCCCTACTGGGTTATTCCCATCAGTGAACAAGCATGCTGTAATGTCTCCCATCTTAAAACAAAACCTTGACATTCCCATGCCTTTCCAGGCACAACTCCATTTCACCCTTTCCTTGTGTAGTTTGAGTCCTCAGAAGAGCTGTCTCTATTACCACCTGTCTGTACTTTCTCCCTTGCCTGTCTTTCTTAAAACACTTTATCGAGGTATAATTGATATGAATAAAATGCACATGTTTAAAGTATACAATTTGCTAACTCCTGTTCTTGTTGATTACTTCTTTTCAGT